CCTCAGGAAATCAAAGCTGTTTGGCCAAACTTCCCAATGATTTTGTTAGGAGTGGAAAGAGCTGAAAATTTTGGATTTTATTTTAAGGAAAGAACCCACACAGCCCGGCAGGAGAGAAGAAGAAATTTATCCATGGGGAAGGCGATTGTTCCTCTCTGGGAAATGTTTTCCTTCCATTCTCCCTGAAAATCAGGCAGGAAAATAACTGGAAAATTCCCTGCTCTTTCCAGAGGAGCTGCTCCTGATGGGATCCATAATTGGATAAAACCCCGGGATTTTGGAGCAAGGTTCCCCACATGGGTCCAGTGAGGGATTCCTGCCTTTCCCTGAAGCCCTGGAACGTCCTGTGCTTGAAAATTCCACTTAAGGGACGTTTTGGGGCTGCATGGGAAGAGCTCAGGATCTTCCCTGCAGATCTGAAGGGCTGGGAGTGAACCCAGCACTGTCCCAGAGCTGCCTGATGTCCCTGTCCCCTTCCCTGCCATGTCCCTGTCCCTCTGATCCCCCCAAAACCACTTTTCCAGGTTTTTTAAGCCTTTTCCATCGCAGCAGAGGAGACTGGGAAATTCCTTGGGGGGAAAGTGTCCCATGCTGGGGACACCCCAGAGTCAGGACAGCCACCACAGTGGCCACCCCAGAGCAGCAGCCCTTGGCTCTCTGATGGATTTGGGGACGTAATTTTCCCCATTTTTCCTCTATTTCCCATCCAAGGGGGTTTTGGGGCCACCTCAGTGGCAGGGAAAGGTTGTGCCCCTCTGGTTCCTCCATCCCAGCTCATCCCACCTTGGATCCCCCACAGGAGAGGGACAAAGTCATGCCCAGAATACCCCAAAATCCTCAGGGATCCCACAGATGTGGTCATGCCCAGAATACCCCAAAATCCTCAGGGATCCCACAGATGTGGTCATGCCCTGAATCAGAAGGGGCTGGAAATTCGGATCCCCACCAATGGGGATCCCTTTTTCTTTTGAAGTCCCAAATCCTCAGAGATCCCACAGATGTGGCTGCCCTGAATCAGAAGAGGCTGGAAATTTCTGATCCCCATAATTGGGCACCCCTTTTTCTTTTGAAGCCCCAAATCCTCAGGGATCCCACAGACATGGCCATGCCCAGAATACCCCAAAATCTTCAGGGATCCCACAGATGTGGCCATGCCCAGAATACCCCAAAATCCTCAGGGATCCCACAGACATGGCCATGCCCAGAATACCCCAAAATCTTCAGGGATCCCACAGATGTGGCCATGCCCAGAATAGCCCAAATCCTCGGGGATCCCACAGATGTGGCTGCCCTGCATCAGAAGGGGCTGGAAATTCAGATCCCCTTAACTGGGGACCCCTTTTCCTTCTGTTCTTGGAAGAACCCTGAGGACACATTTCCCCTCAGCCCAGCCCCA